GTGCTCGGACCCTAACAATTTTAACACTGCATGTATTTGCAGTTTAAATCACTGAAATTATAAACAAAACATAAATATATTCGCGTAAATAATTTCTTCAGGGGTAATCACAGGCTGGAGAACATTTGACATGAATACTGTGTTGGCTTACACACACTCTTGACTCCTTGTATGAGACAACGCAAACGTTTCAGGTTAAAATCACTTTTTTATTCATTACGAAATCATGTTATGAAAATAATGACAACTAACCATATATCAGACAAATGCATCTTTTCCATACATTAACAACAAAAGGTTTGCTCTGTAGGATGTGACTTCTCAGCAGTCGCCAGAGCAGAACCGTCGTCTCTTTGTGCTCGGAGTGTGCTTCATCTCATCCTGGAAGTGGCCAGTTCCCGCTGTTCTTTCACACTATAAAAATGTCTACAAGGCTTGTCATGTTTCTTCCCAGTGTTTACACACGAGAATCCATTTCAAATAATTTTCATTTGTGAGGGAGAAGTTCACATATATACCAGATTTAGTCTTTGTGTTATGCTTCCTGTCGTCTCCTCCGTCTATTAATAATTTACACAAAAGCTGTACATACTTACAGCAGGCCTCGGCCTGTTTCTGAAGGGATGTGCACATAGAAAAAAAGAAGCAACGTACAGAGAAGAGGATCTTTACAAATGTGTCAATGCGATAAGGTGGGAGGCTAAGGTGTTACAAGCTATTAGACTCTTGCCCATTATGGTACATGCAACTAGACATTTTTCAACTCTCATTCAACCTTATGGCACTCAGAATGAGGCTGTGACATTCTGCACCAAAGTCCACACCTACAACAACTTCTTCCAGTCTTTTTGCTTTAACAAAAAAACAAACAAAAAAAACACATTCAACACAATTTCACAACAGGAACAGACATTAAAATATTCATGGAGTGAGTGTGTGTGTTTGTAATGGCAGATGTTAGGATCAAGTATAATTATCTTAGCCAAAAAGATGAAAAACTTTGGGTGCAACAAGAGCAGGATTTACCATTCCTAACCTCCATCTGCATATTCTCTCCCCATCCAACAGCTGAGAAACTCGACAAAATCAAGTTAAACCAGAGCTGGGATCGGAACAGGCGTCTGAAAAAACACTTAAGGCTTAATTTCTATCATTTAGCACGTCGCTAACAACAAGCAATGATTATATTCTTCACCGTCTCGTGACTTCTACTCGTCGGCACTTACTGTATGCAGTCGTTCGAAGCAACATCGTTCTCAACACTCGTATTGCATTCTGATCAGATAAAACAATAGCTATATAACACATTTTAGATTTAGAAAAATATGAGATTGACTCACCACAACATCGTTTTTGAAGCTACTGACACTAAAAACTAAAGCACAGCTGCTGGAATGAGCAGAAAAACAACACAAAGTGCCTCTCCTCTAACGCCACTGCCGTGTGCTTCTTCGTTAATGGCTCTGAACTGAGCTGGAACACAAAAAAAATCAAGCTTTCGGGTGCAGCTGTAATGTGAGGACCTGCTCCTACAAATGTAATGACAACGCTCGTAAGATAGATTTTTTTTTTCTCTATGAAAAGCACAGGACCAGTAATAACCCAGGAGGCTCTAAAACATATCGGAGCGTGTTTAAATCAAAGTTTGGGTCCTGGGATCGGTTCTGTTCTATGGCACAAATGTAGGACAAACACAGCTAAACATTCATCATTTTTGAGATTGACAAAATAAATTATGTTAATGGCACACTGTAGTATCATACCATCGCCACCTGCTGTACTGCGCTCAGACGAGCTGGGTTTAAGGAGTCACAAGTTCTGTCACACATACAAAACTCACTTCAAAATAAAACGAGAATGCCCTTTAAAACATTATTTGCTGAGGCAAGAAATCACAAGAGAAACAGACATGAGGTTTATATCAATCTTGCTGGAATTTCTATCCGTCTTTTTGCATCCGTGTTTCTTTCAAATTTCTCCTCCGTGAGCTAAAAGAAGAGGGCAGCTTGCTTTCTTTCAACAGAAGCCATGCCGACACCGGGCCTGCGACCGTCATTTGCCGTCTCCTGCAGTGTGATTAAGCCACATGGGGAGTGAGGGGGGGACGGGGAGCGCTCACATGTTGTAAGCCACATATATGGGGTCCAGCTGGTCGGCCAGGAATCCGTCTCTGAGGTGCATGCGTTGCTTCTCCCCTCGGGAGTTGATGGGGATGACGCCGGGGTCTACCACCACCACCACCCCCACGATGAGGTAGTGCTCCTCCAGGACAACGTTGGTGACCAGGGCCACCAGGTCCAGGGCCTCCTGCTCGGATCCCTCCAGCTCCACAACCACCACGAGGAGGTTGGTCCACGTGAACACGGCGCTGGAGGGAAAGAGGAACGCAAACAAAGAGAAGAAACGGCAGGAAGTGGAAAACAGGTGAGTAAAAGTAGAAAATGTCAGGACAGAAAGAAAAAGTTAATGTTTTTTAATTGTTCTTCACACAAAAGATGAATTCAAACTAATAAGACACTAGCGGACGCAGGTTTCTCACCATTCAGCTATGCTCTTGTGAGAACGGATAACAGAGGTCTCGATGTCGATTGGGTGATACCTCATTCCCCTCAGCTCCAGGGTCTCATCGAGAGAGCCCACCACATAGAGGGCGTCGTGGCGCTCTGAAACACACGGATTTGTCAGCTTGATGAAGAAGTCACATCTCAAGGTGATGTTACAGAGCAAAGGAGGGGGTTACGAGATATTTATTTAGCCTTCACCAAAAGCAATGCACTGTCTGTAAGTCAGTCCTCACCTCCGCTGGCATCGGTCAGCTCGGTGCGCCGCAGGAAGCCCAGGTAGCCGGTCCTCGCCCAGACAGTCTGGGTGTCGCCGAAACTCAGCTTGGTGTTGAAATGGTCAGCGTGCAGCGCCTCCTCCCCGTAAACGGTGTAGTAGCCGGTGGCGTTGTGAGGACTGCTCACCCAGATCTACGGCACAGTCGCACACATGGTCATACACGCCGGCTAAGCGTCTGATCTACCACCTGACATGAGTATTTCTCATTCGCTCCCATTTCATTCTCACTCGTTATTCTCATTTTGGATTCCTGTGTAGCTCCGTACAACAAACTAACTATCTTCACAAAGCTCATCGTTGGAAATATGTACATTTAATTCTGTTTACTACGGAGGTTACAGCTACAGTTGGTGCTAAAAGGTCAGTTAGTTTCCTCCTTATTTACATATGTGAGAGCAGAATATTAGAAACACCTAGAATATTATATATAACAACACTTTACTATGGCTTTAACACAAGAAACAGAATTCCAAGGACAGGCTCTATAGTAGTAGCTTAATGCATCAAGAACTGAAAGACTAAAATGCTACTTGGTGGAGTTTAAGTTTAGTTCAATTATTTTAAAAACAGAAGGTGCACTGCTATGTATGCAAGCTTTCCCTTTATACAGAGGCCTTGTCTGAAGTCTTGTTTACATGTGTTAAATAAGTAAAAAGATTATATAAAAGCTGAGTAGAAACATGTCAATGCAAATCAGCTGGCTTTTTCCAGGAGAAAATTAGCAGGAGGAACCAGGTTTATTAGTTTAGTAGTTTATTTGTTTAGAGCAGACGGCGACTGTAATCTGATTACTTAAGTGCACAGAAAAGAGTGTGGGTCACGAGGTGGAAAAGTGGATTTACCTCTCCCAGATGAGAGTCTCCTAAAGGTCCTTTAGTCTCTGTGTTGGCGATGATCACTTTCACTCCAGGAAGGATCTGCAACAGGAGACACATATTCTCAAATTAAACAGTTTAGGAAAAGACCAATGCTTTGGCCGGGTGAAGTCATAGTTGTCATTTCCACAGTGATTTGGTGCATACTTTTAAATGATGACATACCTTCCCAGACTCCATCAGCGGCAAGCTGTGTGGCGACCCTCTCTCAACCAGGCGGACCCTGAAGATGACGGGAAAAAAGAAGAAAAAGAAAGATGAATGCTGGTTTTGAGAATGCACAATTACATTTTAATTCATAGAAAAATCTAAAGGAAAAATGAGCTTCAGGACACACCACCATCACCCACCTGTCATGCCGAAGAGCTCTCATGTCCACATAAACAGTGGTGGGGTCGGGTCCAGCCGTGCCCTGAAAAATAAAACAAGCAGAACCGGACGTGAGTCAATAAATCACCCGTTCCAGCCCCGACATTAAAGCTGCATGTTGCCTGAGTGAAGGGAGGTGGAAGCTGATTATGAAACAACGGCTGACAAAGCAGGGGGCAGCCAGAAGCCAACCAGCCAGGCTACGATAGTTAGGACAACTCAACCATGTGGCCACGAACACAGGAAGTACCTCCAGAGTTAAATTCACCTGCTCTGATGCTGCGTAGGATAAGAAAGGTGGGAAAAGCTACAGCAGCGGTTACTGGAATCCTACAAGAAACTATAAATAAACACTAGTTTATTACCTTGAGGATGTTTATTTAAAAAAAAAAAAAAAAAAAAAAAAGACCACAGATGTCAGAACCAATCGGAGCCCCATTTGTTTTGATTAAATGTCTATATTTCTGCCATGCAGCTGAATTCCAACAGAACCATTCCTCAGCGCTGATTATGGCCGTCTGATATTGATTCCTTCTGCTTTGGGATTTGTCATCATTACAGCTGTACGAACAGTCACACCAAATTACGTCTCCCATCACTCCTCGTCTCATGTGTAGCCAGAGCACAGGCTAGCGGCGTGTTGCTGCGTTGTGGTCTGTGTGGTTGTAGCCAAACACAGAAAGGAGTGACGGAGTTTAATAAGCTGAGCAACGCCAGTACATCGAGCAAAGCAGAGGTCTCAGTGACAGAGCGTTTTGTTTTTTTTGTGTGTGTTGGAAAATATCAATCTAGTTTGGCACAGTCAAAAAAAAAACCCAAAGCCAACTGTGTGAAAGAGAGAAATGAGAGTATTCATTACAAAACGAAATCATTATTTGATCGACTGCAAATAACACAAAAACTAAATTGTTGTAAACTTCAAATATTGTCCTTCCCCAACCCCCAAAAAATCCTTTCACTATTAAAACCAAGCAGAAAAACACACAGAAACAACCTTTTTTCATTTAAAGTTTCACATCCCAATTAGAAGATTCTCCCAAATGAAGTGCATCACAGCAGAGTTCATGCTGCTAGCTCATGGTAACGGTGTGTGGCGTAAAGTAAAAACCTGTCGTCAAGCGATGGTTGAGAGCCAGCCGATACAGGTAAGACTGGGCTAAAATGAAGAGCGGTAACGTAAAGCCGAAGCTTGTAGAAGACAAAGAAAAGCAAAGAAAACAACAAAAAAAAACAAATCGGTGAACTGAGGTTAAGCATATTCAAACTTCATGCAAGATAAACAACAAACATGGACACTCAGACACACACACACACACACACGGACACACACATATATCACAGACCCAGCAGCAGAGCGAACAGCCACTCTTGTCCCACAGTACCTGCTCAACCAGTTTCCCTAACCTGTTGGGCTGACAGGACAGGGCAGGACAGATAAATAAAGATATAGATATATAGATATGTAATCGTGTACTTGGACACACACGCAAATCACGCTCAGACAAAATCATCACGAATTGGAAATTAAAAAAACAACTAACAAAACGTTTAAGGAAAAAGAAATCAGACTGAGAAGGAACTAAAAACTTTACATATTAAACCCTACATACTAACAAAGGCAGAATATTTTACCTCCAATATTCTGAGGGAGCTTTTAGAGACACATTATAAAACGTTCTTCTGTAAAACATTCCTACAATGTTATGTGATCACAAAGGAAGAACGTTCTCAAAGGATAGGTTAGGTTAGAGGCATAATAGTTTAGCAATGTTATCCCCAAACATTTTTAGAATGTCTTTAGAGAGCCTCATCCTACCTTGAAGCAGAAAATTAAAGAGTTAAAATAAACATTACTTGAAACACAATTTACTCCAAACGCTTTTAAAACAAATCTAGCCGGGCATTTGCTGAATTTGACAAAAAGTGCATTGGATTACAACTGCGTACTCCACCTTTAATTGTAAAGCTGAACACTTTCAATGAACAATAATACTGATGGCTGCATTCTTACTGAATTCTGTGTTTCTTTTCACTAATCCATAACGTTACTTCCATTTGACCTTTTGTCTTGCATTACATCTTCACCAACATTCACCTACTAATCCTACATTTTTCAAGGGTGTTTTTCTGAATCACTGCGTAAATAAATAGCCATTTGTGACCCTACTACAGTGCTTGTACCGCCCCACTGCTTCCCCCCTTCCTCCTCGTCGCCCTTAACCAGCTGCTTACCTGCAAACAGATCGCCACGTTCACCCTGCAGCCGAAGGTGGTGCTCACGGCTCGCGGCGAAAGCCCCAAGTCTTTGAAGATCTTTGAGAAGGACTGAGTGAGGGCTATGCGTGGTCTCTCCTCAGCGACCACCATGCACGTACGCACACAAGACAGATTCACATTTCGCAACTGGAAATGGAGGAAAAAAAAAAAAGTTGCATCAGTAAAAGCAATGACCAATTTGTTCTTATTGGCAAGATGAAGGTGGGTGTTAAGAGCAGAATAGTAGCTGGCAAATTTCACAGCTACGTTCTCGTGTTAATTTAGTTTTTCATTAGACAGAATCATTAAACCACGGACAGGATTTGCAAAAAAAAAATCCCAGTCTTAAGTGCTGCAGACGGTAATCATCACAAGCTGAAAGTGTTTCACTGCTGAGTACCTGACTTTGTCTCAGTAATTATGGTGCTGGTGCAACAGCACAACAGGGAAAAGGAGTAATTGAAAAAAAAAAAAAAAACACCCCCTAAATTTTGTGGAAGAAATTGCTGCAGTTTGTTGGTTCCCCAGTGACACCGTGCACCAGCAGAAGAGGCAAACTGACCCGTAGTGCTTCTGTCTGTGAACCCAGGCCCTTGGTGCACATCTCCATGACCGAATACGAGCAGAAGGTGACGCGTACTTTGTACTGGCTGACTGCAGCGAGCCAGAGAGAAGCATTGCTCTCCAACTCCAGAGGGGGAACCAGGATCGACTGGTGGCCGGAGTACACACTAAAACAGAAACAGAGCGTTTGCTGCAGTTTTTTTTTATTTCCTGTTTTATTGGCATTCATTTGTTCAGAGCTGCCAGTTTACCTGCACAGGCACCAGAGAGCGAAGCCCAGGCCGCAGTAGGGATCCAGACAGATGGCGATCTGCCGGGAAGGGTAGAGCTCACACTGCAGTTTAATGGAACGACACAAGGCACTGGTGGCGGCGTGAGACATCTGGAAGAGATGATGTGAGAGACACAACTAAAGAACCAGAGAGATCAACTGTTTCCCAGCAGTATGTGAGAACTTTCTCCATGATAAATCCATCTGTTGCTCAGTAACACAAACAAATCTTTGGATTATTCTAACTGGCAAGTGTGGACCTAAACGTTAATCAAATCTGAACATTTTGTTTTGTATTTTGCTTGTAACAACACTAATCACATCATTATTTCATGTACAAACTGTTAAATGTTAGGATTTATGTTTTAACGCGGTGCTAACTGGAAAACAGAGAGGCTGGTGACAGTTAGGTGGTATTATATCTACTAAACATTACATCTCCTTCAACATACTTTGACCCCTGCTAGGATGCCCGTTGTGGACACACTGAAGTCCAGGTAAGCTAGCATCTCTGGGGTCGGCGGCTTGTACATCTGGGAGCTCTTCTTCCTGGGGAGATCATCTGCAAGACAAACACAGCAGACACATAAATTCACCACTTTGTCTACATAAAAATCCACTCAACGTGAGAATACTACCCGAAGGATCTCAGTATGTTTGGGTGCATAACTTACCTGTGTCCAGCACTGTGGGCCAGCTCTTGACGTCCACAGCAGCAGCAGCCTCTTTGGATTTCAGCAGCTTCATTATTGCTTGGGTTGTCAGGATACACACCGACTTGCTCACCTTTAACACACAGAAGTATTTCGACACGCGTCACATTACTTAAACTGTTCACGCGGTTTCCAGTTTGATGGAAAAGCGGCTGTCACGGAGCAGAACGGGCTTTCTATATGATTTGGTTCAATACATTACTTATTGGATACACTCACCAGGCTCAGAGTGTAATAACTGTGCAGAGAGGGATTAAGTTATCATTTTGAAATGCGTCAACTACCTCAACGATCATTTTGACGGTGGGCAGGGTGGTGGCCAGGTTCTGTGGATGCGGCGGTCTGACAGTGACGGGCACACAGCCGGCATACAGGCAGCCGTAGAAAGTGGCAATCAGGTCGATTCCTGCACAGAAACGTTCACATTTACAGCCTCGTTTTACACCTTTAAGCTGCTGGAATTATCGAGCAACGGAGTAGCAGCACAAGTGAAGACTGTTAAAACTGACAGCTGACACTGTGTGTTCAAGTCAAAACCGAAATGAAAAGCGGCGCAGCAGCAGTAGATCTCTTTACCTGGCGGGTAGACGAGTGCTACATGATCTCCAGTGTTGAGGCGTCCCATCAGCGCTGTCGCCACCCGCTCTGCTCGCTTGTGCAGCTGCAGACAGGAAGCTGTGCTAGCCACTGTACCCTGAAAAGCAATCATAAAAACATCACTTTTATCTGCACTGCCGTCTGTATTTACCGCAGCGTCCTCAAGATTTATCAGTCTGTAGATTTCTATCAAAACACCTCTGACTTCAGTGGCTGCCGCTGTGTTACAAGCTTGTTGCGCATCTTTTTTTTTATCTATAAACATAGTCTCAGCTACATTTACAGGAAATTTACTATAAAGTAATCTATATATATACTTCCACTTTGAAACAAGATATTATTTTGCGATCTCTTCTTATAGTTTTTGACCCTTCTTCGGTCAGATCAGGGGAAACTCTGTACCTTAGCATTGAGAACAAGGAACAGAGGATGGTCTGGAGTGGCCTGAGCTCTCCACTGCAGCACATCCTGTATGTAGAGGAACTGTAGAGGAAAGACAGAAACACAAATTATCTATGAAATCAAAGCAACGTACCGCAAAGTCAGACACAAACTGAGAAAACACCAACTTTATGACACAAATGGTGTAGAATTATTGCAAAAGATGTTTTTTTGGAAATGAATGATGGATATGATGGGGTACAGCATATGTGAAGCTGAAGCTGGTGAGAGTATGGGATGTAATGCACAACGGAAGAGAAATCTGAATGACACGCCGACTGTGTTTTCATTCAGATAGGACATCAGCTGCATGTATTTCAGATTTCATCCCCTCAGGTATGGATCCTTACCTGTGTCAGCAGTGTACATGTGGTGGTGCGGCGTGGGTGAAATGAGGATGACTATCTACCTTACGTGCCTGGTCATTGTCCTCGAGTTGCCCCACGTCTCTCCCGCAGGCTTGTGCTATCCGCTTGCCTGCCACCAAGTTTCCCACTATCATAGAAGCAGGACCGACCTCTGCGCAGCACAACCAAACCATCCACATCGTCAAGAAAGTTAGCACCAACATTCATAAAATAAACATATCACTTCACAGGAATACAGTTTTTTTGTTGTGTAAACCTGAACATGCTCACACAGACTACCTGGCTGTTTCTGTCTCGGCTTGGGCAGATTGGTGACACAAGTGTGAGGGCACATGAGGACGTTGCAGGGGTGCAAGGCCCCCTCCAGGAAGCGCTGTTTTGTCTCAGATATATGGATGCCACCCAGGGGGGCTTTAGGGAGCGTGTTGGCGGGGACCAGAGCCAGGCAGTACACCCCGACCTGGTGGATGCTGTCTATAGCCTGGAAACACACACACACACAGGGGGATTACAGACAGGAACCGAGGGGAAATGAAAGTGAGCAAAACTGTCAAGTGAATGAGAGAAATTAGTTTTATTTTTCAGCATCAAAACAAAAAGTGTGAGCTTTGTGGGCGCTGTGTTCCATTTATAGACTAAGTAAGCCCCCCAGAATGTTTTCACACGCCATTATTCTTGTTTTTCAGCTCTAAGTTGCGACTTAAGGGTCTACAATAGAACTTTTGTACTTGTTGCCCACATTAACTACAAACCGGGATAAACGGCTTTACGAAGCATACAATAAAGCTGATTTCATACCTTCTAGTTAGGTAGCAATAAACACCTGGACTAGAGTCCATGCATGCTAGTTGTTTATTTTGTGGATGTAATTTTCTGGACACATACATAGTAGTGCAGTCCGGACTGGTTAGGATATACTTTTATTGCTTTGACTGTACTGCAGCACATTAGACTAAAACAATAATGCAATACTTTTAAGCAGCTGATCATCCAATGTTAAATGTCAGAATGACCATGAATACAAAACAAGGTGTATTCCTGTAGTACAGGGGTGTCGAACTCTGGTCCTCGAGGGCCGCAATCCTGCATGTTTTAGATGTTTCTCTCTTCCAACACACCTGATTCAAATGATCAGCTCATCATCAAGCTCTGCAGAAGCCTGATAACGATCCTGATCATTTGAATCAGGTGTGTTGGAAGAGGGAAACATCTAAAACTTGCAGGATTGCGGCCCTCGAGGACCAGGATTCGACACCCCTGCTTTAGTACATAACAAGATATGAAATAGAGAAAAGTACCTGAAGGACACGGCTCATCCATTGGAAGCTGTCTTCCTCGGAAGCGTCTGGCCTCTGCTCTGCGACTACAACGATCCTCTCGTCGTGCAGCACAGACACAGAAAACACTGCTATCCTAAACACGGAACAACACTGTTAGAGCTGGACCGTCCTATTTAGTATTACTGGTGTCCTGCAACACTGTCAATGGAGTTAGAAAACAGTACAAGACACACTCTCGATATAAGTGATTACAGATATGTCGTGAACTGCAGAGTTTGATTTTATTTTTTAGGCTTTTACCTTCCTCTGTACACAAACTTCATGGGCTCCACAGCCAGCGCCGTGGCCACCACGTCATCAGCATTGTGTCTCCGCCCGCTGACCACCATCAGTCCATCCATCTTCCCCACAACAAACACAAGACTGTCCTGGAAGGAAACACGACGAACACACGGTGAGAATGATGGTCACTGACATTCATACTACATGCAATTTAGCATTTAGACAATTTAGCAATGAGACAATTAAGACTTCAAAAACATTCTTAATCCTGGATCTCTCATGTTCATAAAGGAAAAAAGTATTCTGCTTTTCGCTCAGGGATAAACATCAGCGTTACTTTGTCCGATAATTATCTTGGCAAAGCCATTCCCCAATATTCGCTTCACTAATTGTGATCTGGCCCTGGATGATTTCACTTCTGGCAGATGTTACCTCAGGTCAGCTGTATAAAATATCATCTTCCCCTTCACTGATTTAAAAGTGTATAAATATGAAAGTGTTCCATCTAAACTAACACCTGCAAATAGTGTCTGAATAAAGAGGCAGCAGTGTGCAAGACTGAATGTTCTGGTGTGGTCAGAAGGTTGGGGAATTGCTCCAAATGTTTCTAGACAGAAATCTGAATTCCATTAACTGCACTGGTTTTTGCAGCAGATGCCTCGGTGGCATTTATCTCCAACGCTGAGCACATAAAATGAAACTTTGACTACAACCCCTTAAAGGTTAATGAGGAGATCTGTTTGGTGATTTGAGGGGAATGACTCTGTCTGACCTTTTGCATTCCAGTTAGGATAAGAGCGACGTAATGCTCTGGTCGCTTCAGTTGCTGATTAGATTTGTAATTTAGATTTTCTTTTGACCATTATTCTTTACATTGACTAAAAATCATCTTTAAAGTTCCCTCTGGGAAGTGTAGAAAACTACAAAAAAAAGGCTGGGTAGACCTGAGAAAATCCCACATCACATTGCGTATTACAGATTGATGATTTATGACCAATTATGAACATCTGACTGTTCTGTTAAGGGGAAATGTCCTTCAGTAGCACAATCCTTCAAAGTCAAAAACAAATCCCTACATGATGTGGATGGTTACAAAGAACATACACATTGTAGTGAAGTTATCACGACGCTGTAACACAGAAAATAAAGTACAGGAAGGTTTAAAAAAAACAACAACTCTGCATTAATGAAGGTGAACCTACTGGTCCAACAAAGCCCAGCAGTGATGTTCTGGTGAAAGGTCTGTCACTGACGGGGACCCCGGACGATGTCACTGGGATGGTCTGCAACGAGACAGAACGCTATTAAAACCCACACATTCGAGGATAAAGTCCAAAAACAATTCATTGCTTCTACTTAAAATAACTCAGAGAAATACAAATATATGGCAAATTAATCTGGCAGGAGGTCACTTTGAGTGAACTTAAAACTGATGATGAATTCAGAGTAATGCTCAGATGGAAATGCGACTTTTAACAGACATGTTTTAGTACATTTATTTTAAGGGTCACAATTATTTAGATTCACTCACTATTCTCATGGAGATGTTTGAATTTGGTGTGATTAGAGCGTGCCGTATAATTGTTTACACGTTTTGGTAAATTTGGACTGAAACCTTTAATCCTTCTTTATTGTGTCCAACTTATAAAAGCTGCCAAGCAAAATAAAAAAAACAAGCTTTTACCCGACAGCATTTTTTTCTATTCATGTGTAACTGAATAAAAATGAATGAAGGCTTAGAGTAATATTAAAACACGAACCTCGAAGATATTCTTTGTCATGCCTGGGAGACCGTAGTAAGCTACACCGGTGCTACCTGAGCTCACACAGATCTCCCCGACCTCGTCTGTCTGACAGAGATAAGGTGTCCCCTCCACTCGCACCACACAAACCAGAGCTGGGAATGCAAAACAGAGACAGAAGATGGGAACAAGGAACAATGACTCGTGTAAAAACATGTAGTGATTCCTGTTGCTGTTCCTTATTCCTGTTACAATTGCCAAAGTTCAAAAAAATTAAAGAAGAAAAAGTAAATTATTAGTCAAGGTTCTTTTTTAGCATTTCAATTGGGTTTGGTGTTTTACTGTTTTTGGCCTTCGTGGTGTTACGTAATTCTGTTATATTACAAGACGCTACAAGGCAATTAAACACCTTCATGTTCAACCTCAACAGATCCATCAACAGATAATCTAATGATGCAATTGAATAAAACAGTTAAAGCATAATGACTAAACACAATGTTTCAGTGTGAACGTACACGTTGGTGGAAACGAGAACACTTCAGTTTAGTTGTTTCTTCTCAGCAATATGCAGCAAAATAAAAAATCGTTCTTCTTCATCATCATCATTTTCATTCTAGTCATTAACAGCAGCAACACGTTAATAAGCAGCGCAGCCAGCTGTACCTGCGGGCATGACCTGGCCCACATCCTGCACTGTAAGGACAGACAGCTTCTCCTCCGTGTCCACGCGGATCACGCTGTGACTCAGGCCACCCATGGACAGCACCGCCTTCCCCGGAGGAGGAACACCCATTTCTGGAGGCCTGTGGGACACACATAATTACTACAGCTAACACAAATGAACAGCTGCAACATCCACACCTAATAGAAACTAACATTGTCAGTGTTACTTCGTCCTTTAAACTCCTCTCTTTATTTCATGGGAAACAAACAGAGCCATCCACTGTCTAAGTGCGATGACTGTATTACAGCAGTGCTAAAAAAAAACAAAGACTTTCAGAAGAATTTGATGATCATGTGAGACTGTAAGACTCCTGTGGCTCCAATAAATTATTTATAAACCCCCACATATATCTGAAAAGGGCATTTCTCATTTTAATAATAGTGCCAGCTTCTTTACTTGAAGCATGTATTTTGGTCCGTCTGTCATCTTAATCCTCCTCCATAACTGAGCTCCACGATCAGCAGAAAGCTGCAAAATCCTACAGCCTGTCGCTGTGTTAAAGAAGAACAAATCTCCCTTCCTCCCCGCAGGATCCAGCTGATTTTTGCAAGCACAGTGTGATATAACTGCACATTAATGCAAAGCTCTGGCGAGTTGCTTTTGTTCTAATCAGCTGCAGTAGCTGAAGTTCACCTGCGGATGGCGACAGTCATGGCTTCTGAGGAGCTGGCACATGGACAGATCACCTCAGGTCGCAGCCCACGTGCCTGAAACACGTTGAGGAAGGCATCGCAGGAGGATATCGACCCTGCGGAAACACACACACAAACACACACACATATGGAGTCAGTCAACAAGCAAACACGAACAGAGCAGATCGATAATAATGCCTTATGACTCCAGGGCGTTGTTTTATTAAACGAGCCTCTGTAGATGGACTCACATGGGTTCGCGCCGTCTGCTACGATCAGCATGCGCAGTGAGCTGAGGCTGATGTCTCTCTGGTCTCTCTGGGCCAGCAGAGACCAGTGCATGTCCCTCGACTTCACCACCGCTACCCGCGCTACACAGGGGACACAAAGGCAAAGAGACAGGCCGACGATGAAAACATCCAGCCAGACAGCCAATCACGGATCACAAAATCTGACAGCAAATCGCGGCGCAGGCTGACTCAGCTGCCAACAGGTGACTCAGCGGAGCTCGGACCAGCCAGTGGGTACATTTTATTCAGCACAGCGGGCCCCGTGCCCTTGTCCTGCACTGGGTTAATACAACTGAACTCGAAATCAATAAGCCTAATAAACTGTTGTTTTAATCCATCGACCTCTGTCAAATATGCAACGAGAACCAAAATTGATAAGCGCAGCAGACTCTGTGGAAGTGAACCTTGGTCTCAAAGATGCGACAACAATACAAATCTACCAGCGCATTTTGTCTTCTTCTGTGTGCCGTAATAACATTCAATACAACAATGGAAACAGCAACAAAAACAGGTTTATCTTGCAAAATTTAATGTGGAGTGACCCTCACCTTTGTACGTGTGAACTTTCTGTATCCAGGACAGGGGGTTGACTTTCATCAGCGAGTAGGGAATGCTGATCACGTGCATCCGATTCATGACACTCTGCCATGACAGCAGGAAAGCATCAGATAAGCTCAGAAATATGTCAGGAGTGCATTACAACTACATGATGTCACGATAAACATGCTGCGGGTCATGACAAGATTTTTATCAGGTACCGCTACAAACAAGCGCGTTTGTGTTACTGCTGTGTCACTTTAGGAATTTAAACATGCAACAGCAAGTCATGTATGAGCTGTTTGTAGATTCCATGGTGTGTTTGAAAGCAGTCAGTCAGAGCTGGGTTGTCCATGTTATGAGAGAAGATGGTTTTGCCCATCAGGACTTTATTAGTTTGAATGCATTTACATACTGATGAAGCCCTCGTAGGGAAGGCGGTTAAAAAAAAAACAGACTTTTTATTAGCAAACTGAGCACAAACCTCCTCTATTTCTAATTATATCTGCATCACATCAGCTTCACCAGAGTTTTCTAGACTACTCACAGTGAGAACACCGTGCCATAATCCCGCTTCCCTCTTGAAGTCCAGTACGTTGGTGATTGTTTCAGCTGCAAATCAAAAAGGAGAAGTTAGAGGGGCAAAAAACATTTCCATGATTCACTAGCACAGTTGAAAACACAAAGTTCTGTAATGAAGAGTAAATTCTGACTGCAGACGTATTGGCGACAAACTAAGTTTCAGAAACAGACACGGAGAACCTCTGGGGGCTGCGGGTGCAGTTAAGGAGTTATTCAGAGCAAAACTGGGACGCTGGAGGAAAGGAGATGCCTTATGTTCTCTTTCTTTTTAAGCAGACCTGACCCGGGTCTGACAGAATGAGACACAACCAACCGAGCAGCTGCATTTATCAAACTGTAGTTACACCTGACAGAGCCTGTGAGCAATGCGAAGGGGGGAGTGCTATGATATCATAGATTATAAAACAGCTTTATTCAATGAACACAACCAGTGTTATCTAACCTGCCGTATCAATAAGAAAAAGTGGAGCAAAGCTGACACATTCCAAACAGTAAAGCCTAATGAATGCAAGTAATTTCCACACATCTCTTCATTATTATTGCCCTGGTTTCATGGTCTATCTTTTGGTCTTTGCACTCTGCTGTCTCCCTAAAATATTACAAAGAAAGCTCCCATCAACTGCATACTTTTCTCCATGTCAGAGGAAATGATGGAGAAAACACACAAGGCAAAGTCTGAATAACTGTGAAAATAAATGTCCTCCTCACCTTCAGTGTAGCCGCAGGCCTGTGTGAGGGCATGACAGTGAGCGAGCATGGCTGAATGGGACACTGTGATTCCCATGGTGCTTCCTTCTTTGCTGGTTTTATACTATATGAACACAAAAACAGAACCAGAAAAACATGGCAAACTATTTAAAACATTTCAAAATAAAAGACATGTAGATACAAGAAAGAGTAGCTGATGATTAAAACTCAAAAATATCACAAAATCTGTTAAATGAATGAGATTAAAATACAATCAAATCCTATTTTAATTTATTAACAGTATCCATTCAAATTGTTTAAGCAAACTGCGCTTACTTCTATATAGGCTATGTCATTACTGGCTTCCCGTATTGGAGGATGCCAGTCTTTTGGAGGCTTCACAACGTGTTTTCCATCTGTCACAAACCACAGCAACCGCGGCCAGCCTGCAGAGACAGAGACATGAAATCAGTTCAAACCAAATGCTACTATGCACATAGTCAAAATGGAAATTAAACAGGCTCTACCTTTGAAAGTGGCTACCTCCCCAGTTTGTGCTTTTGGCAGGCCTTTTTGACAAGCGTCAGTGGTCAGCGCCAACGTGACACCGCAGCTGCCCAACAGAAAGCCAATCTGTTGACTTCCTGCATCCTGAGGGACGGAAGGAGATGAAAAACCAAAGTTCATACTGTCAAACAGTATCTGTCACACGGCGATCAACTATTAAGAACAATAAGACTCAGAACATGAAAAGCTTTGAGGAAAGATGTACTGAGGGAATGTGAGAATTGTTAACGGAGGGGAAGAAGGGTGATGACTGAAGAAACCTCAGAGAATCGAACATCAAAGCAGCAGCAGGTAAGAAAGTGGAGTGACAGCCAATCATTATTAAAAACTCCACTGCTGCGCATCAAAGACTGATCGTAGCAGAAATGAAACCCAAGATCTGACACACCCTCCCTCATGTTTGATTGGCTGTGCAAATTAGCTTAAAGCTAGACTCATGCTGAGCAAACCATACTGCTCGGAAAAGCAAAAAAAAAAAAAAAAAGGGCTCACTGTGGGAGGAAAAAATAGAGAGGAAGGAAAAGATGGAGGAGAGACAGAGAGGGAGAAAGGGAGGATAATAATAGAAAAAGAAGCAAAAAAAAAAAGGAATACAAAGTGAGAACATGGAATGATAGGAGTTGGCAGAGTGAGCGAATGGGTTTCTGACTCCCGAGAACAGTTGGCCTGTGATCTAATATTTTGACTAGAATTACACATCATTTCACCTCACTCAAATCTCATTAATTACAGCACAGCGTCTGCCAACAGCATGCTTACAAAGGGCAATCAAGAACAGGCATTAATATTCAGCCTGTGTAACTAATGTGGATGAATTTGGTTCAGTTTGAGCTGATGGATGTGCTGGAAACTGCAATGCATTATAATACTCTGTAATTAAACTTTTAAGAGATAATCCTGCTGCGGTGTTCAGGCAATGACAAATTTGCAATGACAAATTTGCAAAAAGTGCACGTTCTCGAGCATTTAAAATAGTCAGATAATCAAATAAATAGTGAACATTGACATTGAAACAGTATAGCTTCATGTGCATGTCTCGCCTCTCCCTCAAACACACAGAGGTCAAACGTCCAGCAGGGGTCAGTACTGCTCTGATTTGTGTAGATAAGCACAAAAATGTCTAAATCCACACATTCCTGGGAGTTTGTACCTTTCTGGTCAGCGGCACTTCAATAGGCACAGGTACCAGTTCTGCCAGGAGGCAGCCGTAGAAGGCCACCATGAACATCACCGGGTCATTGTTGGGGAAAACCAGTGCAACCTACAAGTGTGCCAAAAGATACAGATAGAGAATGCCAAAGACTGTTTGCCTTAATAATTTAATTGCAGACAAGGAAAACACTGAACATGGTGTGCAACAAACACTGTGAAGCCAAACATTTGTTTTTCCACACAAGTAATGAGGAAGTGATGTTGTATTTGTAAAGCCAAGAAAAATCAATTCAGAGAAGATACGGACAAATTCTGTCAGGCTCAACATTCTGGAGAATGCACTAATTAAGAGTTAGTTGACATAATCTACTTTCATATCTACAATAAATACTTAGTTATAGGTTTGAGGATGGCGTTCCCTACCCACAAAACCTAGAATTATTTACACATATGCTTTTGGCTGGGTTAAGTTGTGCAGCTTAGAGGTGCAGAAAGATGCCCTGGCTCTGTCCTGGCAAGCCATTTCCCCGTGCTTCCTGTTTTCATGCTAAGCAAAGCTAACAGGATGCTGGCTGCAGCTCCATATCTACCATACAAATACGACAAAGGTAGCCAACTTTCCATTTCTGTGCAATAAAGTGAATAACCATATTTGCTGAAAATGTTGAACTATTCCTTAATCACAACACTGAACCGTCCACATCTTATCTTTGTTCATGTTTGTTGTTTTTTTTAACAGCATCTTGTGGTCTTCATTCTGAGGCTCTGGACTTTGCATCTGTTAGGTTGATTATTTCTAATACTGTTGGTTTTATTCTTCTGCTGCATTTGATGAATAAGTTAGTTAAATGCCCAAAAGGCAACAAGAAACGTAAAACTGATGACCGTTGAACACACTATGCCATCTCATGACTTACTCTGTCTCCAGGCATAAGCAAAGGCTCATTTCTGGTGCTCAGCTTGTTTAGAAGAGTGTAGGCCAGTTTCTGACTTCGGGTCCATAGTTTACCTACAGAGGTGAACACACACACACAAATACTTTCTTTGATTTAACAAACCTTAACCTGCAAATCAACATTTAAACACACAAAACAGCTTTGTCTGCAGAATACACAATAATGTATACGGAGACAGATTAAAGACAAAAGCACGAATAACAGATGACAAGAAGTGGTATTGTTTTCCATCTCCGTTGTCAATTCTGGGTCAGTCATCCACAGGTTGACACCTACCGTACGTGAGTGTGTAGACGGGCTTGCCAGCATTGTCGAGCGCTGTCAGACAGGGGCTCTTGGGCTGAGTGGTGCCCCACCTTTGTAAGGCTGCTGGCAAGGAGGGCGGCCAGTTGGTGACCACGCCGAGAGGCTCTCCTTCCAGGGGACTCATCTGCTGGCCTTCTGGCTTTGGCTGGTTGGGATCTGGCTGCTGGACTAAACACATGGAGAAGAGCATCTTTGTGAGGATGGTTCAGTGGGTATATCGAGCAGCCAAGGAGATTTAGCTCCTGAGCCGTATGAGGAAAAAGGCCTGGTGTGTCTGTCGAGCTGAATGAACTACAAGAAAACGGCACATTTGTGAATCAAACAACACTCTCGAACAAAGGCAGGGCATTAAAGGGAGTGTAAGATTAAGAGACAATGAGAAGGGACTGAAGAGCTGCAGGATTATAGGTGAGCTGTGTTCTGTCCTTATTAGTCTTCGCTGCCTATGATCCCATTTGTGAGAAACTTGGAGGCGCTGCTTATTGAAAGGTGCAGCTCTCTCTTCTCTTGTCCTTTAAGCACCCTGCTTGCTTTCTGATTTGATTCCCATCTATCCATCACCATCCTCTGCACACTCTAGGTGCAGTTCAACATAGTTTAAGAGTGTTGGCAAGCTGTACCCTTGCCAAATCAAACACCTCTATCAGGGACAGAGAGTGTTCAGCCTGCTGTCATTTCACATTTGTGTGTGTTTTTGTGCTCACACCGAGCAGACCACCGTGGCTTGCCATACCACAGTCTCTGTGCCAAAATCAGGGAGGCCTCACAAATACCTGCTGAGGTATTACTATTCCTGCTGCATTTTCATTTGCACAGTGTTTATTCAGCGTGGCAGAGTACCACCCAAAACCCATGATGGGCTGGTTGGAATGGAGGAAATGGTCAGACAGGGCTGGTCCACTGTGTGTGCACTCAGTATTCCCAGCAAACCCCCGTTGCACACCTGGTGGTCTCAGCTCCACCAAGAGAGAAAATAACCCCCACGGATCTAAAAGTACGTCTTGACTGTTTATCTGTGAGGCCTGGTAAGGTCACCGTGACGCTTTTATCTCTGTTTATCAAAACGAAATTTAGTGAAATAACCAGTGATGGAGCTGGAAACCTCAGAAATCTCAAAGCTGATGTGATCGTCATACTCGAAAAGGGCAGAAGTGTCCAATTTAGCCTTTAACTAATGATGCTTCTGATCATGATGCTGAAAATATTGTTTTGATGTTTTCTGAATGTGCTGACTTAACCAACCTTGTGAACTTCAAAACCTGCCGGCGGGTTTGAAAGACATGGCATCGTTAAAAAAAATCAACAAACTCACACCATTTATCAGGGTCAGAAACGGTGAAAACAGAAAGAATCATCTTTGCGACCGGCTTATTCTGTCTGAAAAATGATCTAAACCTTAAAAATGTACCAAAAATAAACAGCTTGATGAATATGATATGATATGAGTAGATTCTGGAAGAAAAAAAATCTGCACTCCTCTGCATGACTGTGAGGTCATTAATGATTTACTGGTTGAACTGCAGGCTGTGTTTACGTGAAGCAGACAGGAGACAAGTATGAAAACATATAAAATGATGTGAATGGTAAAATGTTTACAATATATAGAGTTGGCGTTTTCCTCCAGTGTCGGCAACCTCTGTGGGAAAATCTAATTATTAAGGAAATTCAACTTTTGTTTTTTCAATTTTTAGTTTTTCTGAGTTTTCTCTACTTCCACCCATCGCTGTACCATTTTCATAGGTAATGCAGGATTATATATTGCAGTGAAGAATGAGCATACAGTGGGTAAAAATGTGACAGTAAATGCCCAGAAACTGCTTGAAGTCTAGAGGGCTAATAGAAGCAATACAAGTATTTTCAGCTCAGCTTACCATCCAAAAGCTCCTCAAAGTCGTCAACAAAGAACTCGCGCAACGGCGGACGCTTTGGTCTCTTCAGTGTGTTGAGCAGCTGCTGGATTTTGTTGGAGACGCGGCTGTTGACTGGAACACCTACAAAATGAGTTGGAGGGGGGACGAGCAGAAAAAAGGTTTGGGAAGAGCAAACATGGCAAGACACAGATATGGAGAGAAACGCAGACATGACGACGGGAAAAAATTGGAGCGGAGATGCGATGGAGCAGGTGGGAGAAAGGCATGTGTCGACAGATTGATTGAGAGATTGATGAGGTAAGGAGAAGGAGGTGGATGAGAGGAGGACAGATAAGAAAAGGAAGAAGGAAAAAGGTTAGTGTGGTACTCTAATGACACATAGAGGACAACCAGCTGTCACTCACACTGTGGCAAGACAACAAAACAGTGGACCACAAGGTCCTCTACAGTCACTGGGAGGTCAGTCTTTCAGTCAGAATTCTCTAGAATCACTGACAAACCTCACAGGCTAAATAAATCAGGAAACAAGGAGCCGCCTCGCCTGCTGCCTAGCAACAAAGATGTCCCCTCTGCAGTGAGTGATTCATGAGGTGTCTCAAAAGGTGTCTGTTTCTCATACACTATTAAATTCAGAAATATGAGAGGCTACAGCTGATCTCCAGTCAAGACAAAACATATGTAAATTGCTTGACATGCTTGTTAAAACTTTAACTCTTTAATATTGTATGTTTTTTTTTTTTTTTTACTGCGTACCAGAAACCTGAGCCAGAACATACTTAAAAAACATAATCTCAAAGACATGAACCTTTGGCAAGACAATAGAAGCTAAATGACGGAGCAGGAAAAGAGAGAGAATGAGAGAAACAACAGAAATAACCAGCTTTGAGTGAAAAAACAGGGGAGTTGTCCAGTTAGACTTCCCTCACATCTCAGTTATAGGCTCAGACTATAATCATCAGACATTATTTCCACCATATGAATTCATACTTAGTTTTGAAATGGGGGGCTGTGTCAGACATTCCAGGCAGCCACAGGAGCTGAAGGCCACAGCTGCACACAGCTTGCCTGATTTATCTTCCTATAATAAGCCTGGCTAAGACAGACTCTGCCTCCTCATGTAGGGACAGATGTACTGGGAGTAGACATGTGGGGGTCAGCACGGCACCTGATGGGCCAATTAGAAAGCCCCTGACACACAGGCCCTGAACCCCATCCACTCATGAGCCTTGATCATTGATATCACAGCCGACCAGGGCCTGACTCTGATGAAGACTATAATTAATGCGCTCATGATTTTATCATTTATACATCTGCAGCATCAAATTAGTGCAGCAAACACCGGCTCTGGCTTAATCTGGGGAAAAAAGAATGTGCACCATGTCTTTGCTGTAATATGTACAATATATATGGTACACTGAAGTGCATTTACTAACAAACCAGTACCATAATGAAGACAGAACTAACTAATAAGACCGATGCTGTTCTTTATTTCTTTTTAATGTTAACAAATCCCAGACCAAAACCAACATAGCGAGTCCCTCCTACAACTTTTTCTCAACACTGTCTGCAGCCTTCAAGACTGTTTGCGAACCACTTAAGACATAAAAATGCACCATTCATTTTTAAAAACACTACATTCCCCGCGTCAGCTCGGCGCTGTTGTTTTTAGCACCACTTTATTCAAACAGGAAGGGATGTATTTGCACAGGTGTGTTTGTTGGAGACTATTTTCAGCCATGGATTAATATATATTAGTTAAGCAGCATGGTATAAGTGAAATTGACTCTAAATAAAAAGCTGCCCCAGGTCAAAATAATAACAAGGGAACATGTCATCCATTGCAACAGCGTGGTTCTTTTGTTTTTCATCATTTTTTGGACAACAATGGAAGCCGATGTCACAGAGGAATAGACTGCATCAGGCTCTGGACGCACAAAAAACATGTCAGTAGAATTAATTCACTGTTGGTCTTTTCATTGGACTTGTTGGATATATAAATAATGCGGTAAATTAACAGGCAGCTCAGGATTTGTGCTCAAGAGAGTGATCAAGAAGACCAACACACACACACAGCATCAGTAACCGAATACAGATGGAACCCAAGTCACTGCGCGGCATGTTTTCTACACCCAGCTACGTGTCGATGTGAAAAAAACGCCAGCAGTGCTAGACGGCTGCTGTCAGAGAAGCGGCAGCGTGGCTGTGGGCTAACTGGCTGATGTCACACAATGTAGTGAGAAACACAAACTGACAGGTCTTAGCTTTCTCACTTCCAGATAAGGAACCAGTATGTCAACATGCTAATTATTCGCAAGTCCAAATGAATAGTTACACCTGTCACAGAAAAGACCTTTCATCGCAATCTGCTTCAGCGCGACCAATTCTGACAACATCCAGGTTAGATATTCCTTGTAGCTGCTATAAATGGCAAAGCCTTTGCAACACACTGAGCTGTACAAACACACACACACACACACACACACACACACACTGTATGACTGAACTCACTGTAGCTTTGCGTATATCTTTGTAAAACACACACGGCTTGGACAAGTGCTCGACCTGACAGTGGACGCGAAGGCAGAAACACAAACACACAAACACAAATGCACATGTAGCAGAGTGCACATACAGCACATACTGCCATAGAGTTGGAGGAACAGTTATAAATACCATCAATTAAAGTGAGGGATCCTTCACCTCTCCACTCACAGCCTAGAGGAGAGACACATCAGGATGTCAATGAAACAACCCTGCCAACTTCCTGTGTGTGTGTGTGTGTGTGTGTGAATGTGTGAGACATCTACCAGCCGCCACGTGTAGGTGAGAGTGGGCTTATGAAGAGTTGTTACTTTTGTACCACAACAAGGCTGGCTTTTCCTGTTTGTGTTATTTTTGTCATGTTTTTTTTTTTTTAATAAACCATGGAGGAAACCTTGCAAATGAGGTACAGCTTTGAAATGTCTTGAGCGCCACACAACCAAACAGAAGCCATAAAAACGACATTGTTTATTGCCTTTTAACAACTACCTTCTGCTTTATGTGACAGCCAGGTGGGCTGGTTTAGCATTCAGAGAATCCGGAACAGGAATGGCAATACACATAATACACACTCTGCTGAAGGTATAGTCTGGTTTTCAGGCTGCTGTGTTATTAGCACATTGAATGAATAAAGATGGATGACACGAATACATTGGGGTCACTTTTTGGGTCACGTGCAGCAACGGACTGTAGACATTAATCTTACCCTGTACAGGCATAAATGTTATTGTTATAGATTTGTTTTAAAGGTGAATCCCTGACAAAAATCGTTTCTATTTAATAATAAGAAAAAAAGCAGCATATAAATCAATACTTTATGACTTGGTACATACACGGCATTCACTACTCCATACTGGTGGAAGTGCTGGGTGCATACAAAACCAGCCACTGTTTCAATGATGAATAATTTTTGGAGTTGGATTCACTAACAACATGGCAACAACCGAGTACGAGACCTTCCTCTAATAGTCTGGTTCATGCCATAACTCAAAGGGTTTTCTGTTTTCACTGCTCAAGTGAAACGACGTCACTGTAAATCAATATGATCTATGTTTTTATTTGTTAACAACATCCAACATTAAGCTAGAAACATGGAGGATTTTTTTTTTTTAGGGGGGTGTGGGGGGGGGGTTTGAAGAGGTGCAATGTAACCATGGCAACATGAGAGGGTCAGTCAGTAGCTTGTGCCAGTCAGCCTGACTGAGGAGAAGACAGAGGGACAGACAGCAGGGGAGAAAGCAAAAAAGGGAGGTGGCTGTCCGTGTGGCTGTATATGTGTGTGTGCGTAAGTAAGAAACTCACCATCTGCGGTCTCCATGACGCTGGTGTGGTGGTTGTAGCTGCGGGAAACGCCTCGCACCGAGGCCACCTGGGGCCGCTCTGCATGAAACGACGAGCGCTCCGACAGCCCCGTCACGTCAGGGGGCGCCGAGTGGTTATCTGTGATGAGTGGGGTGTCGGGGGTTAAAAGGTCAAACGCCAGGCCGACTTTGGGCTGTCGCAACTATCTGAGAGTCTACTTCATAGGTTGGCAAACAAACTGCGCTGACAGGGATTGGACTTAGATTGTCATCTCTAAGTGTGAGGTCTTACACTGTCGAGGAGCGTCTTTTAATGTGAATTTTACATTTTAACTCCACGTTACCGACCTGCCACGACTATGAATGAATGTTTTTACATCCCCCTCAGCGAGTAAGACATCCACATAAAGCAAAAACTGTAAAACATGATTAACAGGCAGGTCTGAGGACATCGTGGTGGCCTCCATCTGTCCCCCCTTTTCGTGCTTAATTCCAGAGAAGATTCCTGAAGTTCCACAGATCAGTTGACATCACGATGCCACATAGTATACACCCTGTGGCTACTTCAAGCAATCAAGACAACAGCAGTTCTGACAAAAGTTTTACATTCAGAAAGCTTGCAGAGGTTCATTTTTGTTTATGCTGCCAGAGAGATGCTAATTAATTAAAAGGCGTCTCATTATTATGCAGGGTAGTTCAACATCACTGCACAACTATGTCAATAATAAACATATAGCTAAATGAATACCCATGTGACGGGCTCAGTGGTATGGTGTGGTGGGAACTGAAGTTTAAAATGCAAATCTAGTATTTCTATTACATAAGTAACACTGTTGTTGGAATCAAATCAATCATGAATCAGCCTGGGAACTGAGGCTCCCTTCTTAACAACATATAAACGTGCATAGCAAATGTGAGATTTCAAGACCAAAGGTCATGTTTGTTTGGTCATTACCATCCACATTAGAAATTAAAATGATGTCTCTGTAAGATGGCGTACGAGTTGTCATGGTGAATGACAGATAGGATCGGTGTTCGAGGGGCCAAGGAACAGGGTAATACGGGAGATTTATTTACAGCTTCATTCAGCACCAGTCACTGCTGCTACTTTATGACAGCAACCTTGAGGCGAGATGGGCTGGAGAAAAAAAAAGAAATCAGACAGCTCCATCCTAATAGGATATCGTTGTGCCAGCGACAAATACAGACACACATGGACACACACATAGCCACACACACACACATAAGTAAGCAAGAGACGATCTCACGTCGCTGCTACAGAGAGACTGATGGTGATAAATCCACTCATTAAGTCGCTTGTGACACTCACATGGCAACATGGAACAAGCAGTTTGACAGAGATGTGGCTGCGAGCTTTTTCACAATGACGTAATGACAGGGAGATGGCAGACGGCGAAGACTAATTAGAAAGACGAGAATTAAAACTCTGCCGCTGGTTCCTTTTGTCTTGCCATCATGCTTTTGTGTATCAGGAGGGAGATAAGGCCTCGGAGGTAAAAGATGTATAGGACAATGCTGTCTGTCTGCGATTAAGCTGCCACTGTAAAAAAACAGTCTGCGCGACATAATACAGGTTAAGATGTTACCTTTGATTTAACAAAAACTTTGGCTGGCTGGCGATATTCAAATTCACCAAAATGTCTGCTGAAATTCACAAATGTCGCAAAATGAAAAAAATATAAAAATCTGTCTTTAGACTCCTTGAGTCACGTGTATATGTACATTAGAGGTCATGTATTTATTTACGCACTATAGATATAAGGATTTAAACTGATACAGCTAAGAACGGGGTTCCTCAGGCTTGTTGAACAACTGTGATTAAACCTAAATGTATTGTGAAGGTTACCCTAAAGAAACCGAAAGCCAAACCCACACTTGTGAGAACGCTATGCAGAAAATTTCAAACATCTAAAAGCCTTTTCCTGCTTGGAATGAACACATTATCTTATTCTGATACGAAGGGGTAAACGCGTGTACCTCTGTGCTAACTAGATGAAAGCACTGTATCAGTTAGAAGGGGGGGAAAAAAAACAAAACATACACATTGGCCAAACCTTATGTGATGTCGTGTGAGACTGTGTGCGTGTCACTGACCTAGCTGGGTGTGTGCCATAAGGTCGGCCAATGCGGTAGCTGCGGCGTTGGCGTTGAGGGCTGCGTGGGCAGAGGTGTTGGTGGTGGTGACGGATCTCCCTCCCGGGTGGGATGAGGTGGATGACGCGGAGGATGAGGTGGACGAACCCTGGATGACACGGTTAAACCAGTGCTCAACGGCTGGGTGGCCGTGGCCCTGGTAGGGCGTGGAGGTGGCCAGACGTCCCTGCCGGCGCAGTGAGCCCTCGTCTTCCGACGCTGAGGAGGTGTCTGTGTTTGACAGGTCAAGACAGGGCAGCGTCATAACAGTGGACAAGAACATGGGGCTGTCTACAGTGTGACCAGGATAAAAACAAGACAGCAAACTTTTGCAGAGTTTAGATGATATGCAGATGATACATTATTCTACTTATACATACTGGACAAAGTACATATAAGCCAGTGAGATGACAAAATGAGTTTTGGTGGATGATGGACATGGAAGCGAATACGCCTAACAAGCCTGATATTCGTTTTAAAACAGCTTCCCTGGTAGAGTTGTTTCTAAAAATTTGACGCCATGTAAAAACACTGCAACATGTACTATATATGGATGATAAAGTGTAACAGACTTTGGCAACAGACAAACCAGAGGTTTTCATATGTACTGCACATGACAGGGAAAAACAATAAACTATGTGCCTGGCTTGCTAAGCTGCAGTCGTCAAACTACTAATGTTCAAAGACAAGAAAAAACAATGGGAGTTTCTTTAAAGCGTATTAGAACATTTTCATATTGTCTAGCTGATATTGACATTTCTTCTTCAAGAAAATTGCAAACACAGATACATACTGCACTTGCACACAATACAAGCAGCATTAGCCTAACCACATTTCCTATCGATTGTTGGTGTAAAAAAAAAACAAAAAATTTTGATAAATGCAGAGTATGCTTAAGGTCCTGTTACTTGGACTCAAACCCGGCCACTGATGAGTTTACCGTCTCTCTCTTTTGAGGCAACTGTGAGCAGTTGGTCTAATCAAAAATAGCCCAAACAGGAACAGCTTCAAAGCAACATAACAATCATTTAAAATGAACACATTCCACTTCATCTGCCAAGCTCCAGGAAATGTCTGTTCTTTTGACAGGATCATTTAAGTTACGCAGCAGCACCTAGTCTTAGATTAGCATTCTGCAGAGAACTGAGAGCAATGAAAGGGCTAAAAGCACTTAAGCATCAACCATTTCAGAAAACGGAATATTCAAACTATAGACTTGTTTCAAATCACCAAGAAAGGTCACACCTTTCCCCATTATTCATCTCTGACCATGTAAACAGTGACGCCCGCTAAGCAGCTCCCAAGGAAAGCACAAAACTCATTCACACATTTCATTACAATACTACACTAAAGCCCTTAAGCATATAGTACAAAAAAAAAGCTTTAATAATGCGGAAAACCAATCTCAAGTCCACTGAGAGGATGAGAGAGACAATTAGAAAACAGAAGATCTAGAAAACAGAAACTAAGACTGTGTGCGTGATCAGCACGTGCCTGATGGATGTTCTCTAAACTAATGAGCCTTCATGTAATTAATCCTGCTAATCACGCTCAGTATGTAGTTACAAGTAAAGTCCACCAATTGAGACGCATTAATAAAATCACTGCTACTTTCCATAAGCTTCCTCCGGGCCTTGGCCTTGGCCAGAGGAGGGCCGTGGAAGGTGTAAATATAACAAACCAATTTAATGTCTCCACAACCAGTGGACTCATGCGGGTTATCTCACATTTATGATTCTGTTTGTTATTCCTCTGCCTCTCTCCAATCTCTCTCCGCATCGCAGTAACCTTGACACAGTTACACAGGGAGAGATGGAAAGAGAGGGTCAGAGAACAAATGCAAAGTAGAAACTGAGAGCTGGAACAAATGGGGAAAGATACTGAAGAAGGAAAAAAAGAAAAAAAAAGAGGTATTTGTCACAGAAAAATTGTCAAAACAGGAACAGAGAGTAAAGAGTAAGACAGAGAAATGCAGGCAGCGATGGAGGATTTCAAAGAGAAAGAAATAGAAACAGAGAGGCTGAGATCTCAGTTATTCCGATGCACCAATGAGCAAGAAAAGATAGATCTAATACTGAAGCTTCAGTCCAGCTGCTACAAGCTTGAGCAGGTTTTCACTGACTTGGATTCACAGAAAACTGATTCAATCCAGTTGGTTAACGCAACATCATAATGACTATAATGACCATGTACAACTAACATCATACTGTATGGGAGCTTTGAGGTTAATCTATGCTTGACCCATGTATATATTTCACCATTTTCTTCAAAGTTATCTACTGGACTGATGATGAGATTTGGCAACTGCACTTGTGCACAGCAGACTTTGAGCTAAATGCTAATATTAACCTGCTAACATGTTCACAATGACAACATTAACAAGTGGATGTTTAGCCGGTATAATGTTTAGTAAGTCCATCATTAGATGTGAAAGTACTGGACCCATTTCAGCAGTGGCACAAGACACTACGCCTGGGATCACCAAAGCTATTATATTTCATCTTGTAGTGGATGTGTGCATTATATTTAATGGCATTCAGTGCAATATTTATTAAGATTAAAAAAAGAAAGTTATTGAGCGTACAACCAACTGGTTAGCATTGTGCTTTCCATGTATTAGTTTCATTGTTTTGTGCACGCTTCAGCTACTGGTCTCTGCATTGGCTGCATTAAACAAGGCTTCAGTGGAACACCTCAGAAGAAAAATGGTCATCCAGTGAGCATCTCCGATACCGGCCTCTGACCTCTATTGCATGGCATACCACCCTCTCTCATCTCTTGTTTCTCATCTGCCTCTTCGCTGCTGTCTAATAAAGGCAAAGATACCAAAACAATACGGCTTCTATCAACCAACCATGCCTACACTGGTTGAATGACAGGTCTTGAAGTATTAAAGAATGCTTTTCGCTCAGATTATCACTGGTTCTTCAGAATCAGACATGTTGTATGTAAACTGACAACCGCAGATAAGCAAGACAAGAGATGGAAAATACAGATACCAACAATATCAAGACCTCTTTATCCAAACATTAGCACAATCGTTGGCCAAAACTCCACCTATTACTTTTATGCTAATGTAATCTCAAGACGCTGTCACAGATGAAATGCTGAAACAACTGCTGCAGCCTTGAAAAAGCAGCTGAGATCATCTTGTACATTGTGCATATGATGTCGATTTGTCCGCTATACCTATGCACCTTATCCAAGTAGATTACAGTATATCACTCAGAATAACTCAGAACAACCATGAAGAGTCCTTCTCCCTCTCCTATTCAAACCTAAATGTCTGAGCTCTTAATCCGGTTACTTGCTCTACTGCTGTGTCCTCTCTCTTTATCCAAGACTTGAGGCTTTATGGCCCCCCACCTTGTACACCAATGATAAAGTCACTGCAGTGTTTGAGAGTCTGTTATCAAATCTTGCACAGATAACTTGCTGAAAGACTGAAAGAAATAAAAATGACTTTTTGGGCCTTGAAACTCTTACAAAAAAAAAAAAAAAAGAGGCTGCAGAATGCAGTAAAATGAAAACAATTCAAATGAACTGGCCCACACATTATAAACTGTTATAAAAGCAGGCAAAAGGTCGACATTTTGAGACGATGCTCACAATCTGATTATGCATCCATTATGCAACCCATGTGGGAAGGTCTGCCTGAGAACACAACGGTCAGAACTGACTTCTTTATAGTTACAAAGAATGGACACATTCATCAAACTGCACATTTTCTTTCCAGTAGCAAAGGCATGGCAACATCATTTTCAATCACTGAACACAAGTCAGCATCCTACACTCTAATGCTCATGGGAACGTATGACACAAACAAACACCCCAGTGAGAACACAAACCCAGGCTGTGTGCTCACAGCGCAGAACTCTGATATAGGTGGACAGTGAATTTAAAGGAACAGGGGTCCCACCTGGCGGGGTGCATGCCTCGACAGAAGACTGAACTAACACAGATCGCCTCTTGGAGGGCATGGGCATCTTCCTCTCTTTGTACTTTGCCAAAGCTGCTTGGACGGCTTCTGTGTGCAGATCTAGAAAAACAAATCAGCAAAGGTTAGCTAAAGTAAAAAAAAAGAAGAAAACTAGACATTTAAAACTTTTTGGTAACATGATTACCAGATCTGAAGCGTTCATCCCGGGTGTTGGCAGCCCGAGACTTGTTGTGTTTGGAACCTGGAAGTGCAGCTTGGGATGAGGCCTGGATTCGGTTGTCAATTTGCAGAGATGGATCTACACCTGCAGAGAAACACGTCAAGGCAGAAAGAGGACAGTTTAGAACAGAAAATAAAAGCATAACCCTCTCTAATGCTCATATGCAGCAATATCAACATCACAAATATGAACAAAAAGACTCTTTGCAGAATGTGCCTTGGACATGGAGCAGTGGTGCCAAGTATTGCTTGACTAGATCAAGTATCCATAAGCTTAATGGTAATCCCTACTTAGGCTGCTTTCTTTGAATACAGTAGCTTGGAGTTGAGAAAGTATTCACTTTAATTAATCCAGCCTCCCTCACAGCTTTCCAGCTGCCTCCAAGCTTTCCGAGGGAAGAAAATGCAAATTACACAGACATAACTGAAAGGAGGTGATTAAGCACCATGAATGTCAAAAAGACAACATCTTCTAACTGGAGAGTTCTAAAATTATCAGACTCTCAAACTCACAACCTCCCAGTGCAGCGTACGACACAAGCAGTGATTCATGCTTTTGCTTATGCAATCCTTATTTGAGCGTCACTAACTAACTAGTGGTTGGCATCAGAGGGGAAAACCCGAGACCATTGCCTGAAGGAAGGTCACCACATGCAGAAGAACAAGCTCTATCAGTATGCCTCTTCCTCTCAAGTTTCCATTCTTACATAGTTGAAGTATGCAGGGAGAATAAAGTAACTCAAGAATGAATTCTGATGAGAATTTATGCCATGACAGATGATTAAATTGTGACTAAATTGGATGAACGTCCTTCTGCTGCAGACTGAATTTGTTGATCCGGCTCAACCTTTTGACATTGGGCAGTAAGCGGGGTTTACTTTGGACAAGTCGCCGGTCAACTGTAGACAGAAAATGTTCATCTTCTTTCCTGTTTTGTTATATATTTATTTGCATGATAAAACTTTAAATTCACACAGAAATAATGTCATAACAAGAACAACCTGTACGTAATGACAGGTATGAGAAGTGATTTCAAGTGGAACACGAGACACAATGGGACAGGAGCACAGCCTGTATGATGGCACTACCTCCAACAGATGTGTAAATATATTTATCTGACAGTAAGACATAGAGGAGCATAAAGTTTAAAGCAATGCTTCTATAGTTCTGCAGTTCTGTCTTCATAAATAATAGAAACTAGTGCCATGTTCCCACTGACTCCTGCCAGTTTCTACCTGCACTTCCGAAATGTATTCCAGCAAACTGATCTAGTTTCTGACACCTAAACGCTGCATGTTTGTACACCATCAAAGCAGGAGCACAGCAAACAACTGAATACGTTACATTATAGTGGAAGTAAAGTACTTAGGGTCCTTGTGTAAGTGACAAAGTAGGATCAGAGCTTAAAGAAACCCCCAAAACCGAGCTAAATGAAACAGCTAGCACCGACACCCACAAAATCATAACTTGTCTTTGGCTTTTTAGTTTCCTCTGACTAAACAGATGTCAATAGCACTACATGAACCTGAACCTGCTGCTATCCTATTGAGGCCTAGCAAAGTGGTGGCAGAAGTATTCAGACCCTTTACCTATGTATAAGTACCAATACAACAATGTCAAAACACTCCATTACAAGTTCCTTCTTAAGAAAAAAATAATATATTCAACTAAAAGCACTGGTTTGGTCCCTTTGACTGATTTTTTATTTTATTTACCAGATTATTAATTGTGAAGCATCAGTGTGTCAGCAGCATGTAGCAGCTGAGACGGTTTGAACTACTTTTTGAAACCAAACGAATCTAAGAAGTCATGAGATGTTTAATTTGAAAGGAAAAGAGAAAAAAAAACTGAAATATATTTTCTCTAACTTTTGATTTTTTACTTTAATCATAAGCATTAAGTTGTATTTTAGAAATGTATTCTGCTATCCACTGTGAAAAATCTTAATGAGTAACTAAAGCTGTTAAATAAATGTAGTGGAGTGGAAAGTACAGTATTCCCCTCTGAAATGTAGTTGAGTGGAAGAACAGAGCTGCATAAAAGTAAAGTACATGTACCCCCAAATTGTGTTTAAATATTTGTATTTAGTTATTTTCAATCACTGAGCTCGTGTCGGACTGTTTTGTATAAAAATTAGAAGAAAAAGAAGATGAACAATAGAACTACTGTAGCAGCAGTTCAAAACTACAGCTGAAGCTGTGACCTCATGTGAACAGAGACTTAATTACAGCTTACAATGATTTGATCAAGATTAAATTAAAACAAACTGAAGCATAGTCCCATTGTGGCATAGAAGAAGGACTGAAAATCCACAAAAGGATCCCAAAATTAACAGTGCAGTAAAAAAAAACAACCAAAAACATTTACAACCAAACTGTTGACAGTTTTGAGGTTGGTCTGGTGTTGTGGTCTCTTTTCACCTGACCTAATAAACCACACAGAGTGGCCGCCTGGGCTAATATACCATTTAGAAAACAGTTGTGCTGAGGACAGAGTCCTAACCACACCGCACTCAGCTAGCTCGATCCAGCGTCTAGCCTCTTGGCCCGTCAGACACTCGGCCAGCCAGCCAGCCAGCCAGCCAGCCAGCCAGCCATCAGCCATCAGCCTGCCCGGCTTTTCAGCGGCAGCTTAGTGGGGATCAGTGAGCTCCACACCGTCAGCAAGTCTCAGACAGCAGCAGCACACACACAGCAATGCTGAGCAACAATCACACACTTCAACTAAATCTGCAAAACAACACGAGTTTCAAACATTGCACAAGGTAAAAACAAGACCTGAGGACATTTCAGGACACACCGCACATGGAGTGTGACTCACGCGCACACACACACACACACACACACGCTGCATCCCCCGAGCCTGGACAGACACATTAATATATGCTGGTCCCTCACATCGCTCTGACAGCCCAGTCACACCACGGCCTTTTCCCGGCTCCCGGAGGAAACAGGTCTATAAAACAAGCCAGGACACCAGACCCGGTTGCTGGGCAGAACACACTTCAGAGACACACCACAATGAGCCAATCGGAGGCGTGCTCATGTACAGCAGATGTCGTTATTGGTTCACAGCGAACCCTGATGAATTTTTACCACCTGTCTGATGCCAGCGTTTACTTACCAGTGCGGTGGCTGATGACACGTGTGTGTCTATTACTTCCTAGAGAGCAAACACGCTTGGCTAATGACTTGCATCAAGCAAAAAGTTCTCCATATGACTCAGACACACAGATGATGTGGCTCTGAATGAAATTTCACAGGTGCCTTATAAACGACTGAAAGATAACAGTGAGAGAGCCGAGGCTGCATTCATGGCCATAAAGTGAAAGCAGAGAAAAGAACTGTCACTTCACACTGGGCAAACTGCATACCTGCATTCTCACTGAAGACAAGTTAGAAAAAAATCCTCAGCAGGGCTTCATTTGATGCTAATCAACATTCACTCACATGCAACCAATTCATTTTTATGTCATGTCTAATAGCCGGGCAATGCTGGAAGCAATTATTTGCAGTAAAACCCAAGCACTAAACATAAACAAAGGTTGACAACAGTGAAATATAAGGCAGTAAAATAGCTTATGAATTCAGGCCGGATGAAGCCTACGGTCTATAGGACTATTTTAACCCTGCAGCTGTTAAACAATAACCCACTGATTCATTGTGCCGGATGGATGTGTCATTAAATCCCAACACATCTATTCATCCTACTAACAGCATGTGCTGTATATGAAGTACCTCACCCACTCGAAAGCCTTTCTATTTCTGCTCTATATCCATCACTTCCCTTATTTAGATGTTAAGATCCGGACTGAACGGCTCGAACAATGAATAACACAAAGAAAACACAAAGTCCGTGATAACAAGAGCGAGAGGGAGCAAGAGAATGAAGGAGATGATCCGCCCAAGCTAAATAACAGACCTGCTAACTCTAGTGGAAAGCCTCGAGTAGCAGCCCACACCAGACTCTGGTTTCCACTTGTGAGAACGAGCCAAACCAAAGACTGCTATGGACATCAGATAGAGGACAGAGAAGCAACTCCTCTTTGGGATTCACCCCAAACCACCTCGATTTATAGACTGCCAGAAGCGACTAAGACCGACTGACTGCACAAATGGGCCTAAAAATACACTTGGCAGATATATAAATATATTGTATGTAGCCCCCCCCACACAGACAAGCGCTACACACAAACTTCACACCTCACTGCTCTTCAAAATTAATACCTTTCTTCTTAAACACCCACTGGCTGACACAAATATGCACAGTCTGGCAAAAATATACAAAACAATCCCTTAAATAATTTGCATTCTGTAAGACAGCTTACCTAAAAACCATAATCACCTCCGATCACGAGCCTCGCGTCTGAATTATGAGAGAGAGATATCTTTGTGACACTAACAATCTTCATCGTGTCTTCCCTGTATTGTTTTTTTTTTTTTATTTGCATTTGGCTGCACGTGGCTGATGGAGCGCTCTGGCATTAATAACAGACCAGAGGGTCACAAGACCACCATTAAAGTCCTGAATTGAAGACAGAAAGACACGCCAGCAGACATGATCTAACCAGATAAGTAAAGAAGCGACGTCAAACTTGACTGCGGCGTCCTTTGTGACGACTTCCTCACCACATGATGCTTCATCTGCTGTTTCAATAAATACTAAATGTACTCAACTTTTGCGGGCGACTTCTGAAATAGTTTGGCTTTTATATTATTTATGTTTTGGGATGGAAGTTTTGATTTCCTGTCTTCTCTTGTGCCTCCATCGTGGCTCGTTTTATAATACGTGTCACATATATGAATAAATCTCCTCCTGTAACTTTATCAGATGATGCTTTTTTCTCTCTCTTTGCTCCAATAAGGACACCAATGCTAGCTGCTATGCTAACAGACTGCTAAGATAAAAAAAAAAAAAACTAGTCCCGGCCAGATGATTTCCTGCAGGCCTTACCTTGAATCTGTGGGATGTACGGTGCCAACAGCTTGCCTCTTTTCTTCTCATAGCCCTTCTGAGTGATGTCCCCTGTACAGACAGAGACAGAGGAATAGAGGAACAGACAGACAGAGACAGAGAATGAGAGAAGGCGGGGGGGGGCAGAGAGATGAGTCATTAGCTCAGCCGTGCCTTGGTGTTATGTGTGTGTGCGCACAACTGCCTCAGGATCACACTGCCAGGCTGGTCACACTGGCACCACGGGGCACCACATGCAGTTTGGGTTAGCAGATGATGGGCTCCTACCAACTCTCAAACACACACACATAAGAAGAAGTGATGCTCAAGTGTAAGTGCATCACAAAAATAAAAAATAAAATCGCACTTGATAGATATCATAGCGTGGAGAATTTCCTGTGAATACTTGAACGATGGCATCAGCTGAGAAAGAGGTATTTAAAAGATCATTTGTCTGGAATATTTTTTTCCCCCCCTCGATATTTTCACCAAAAGTAAAATGAAACACTGCTGTCAGCAAAAACCGAATCCGTCTCAGTTGTCTCCCCACACATAATTAAATGTCAGATCAGGCCGCGCGTTATTCAAGCAGTCATATTTGAAAAGAATATCAACGTTTTTCCATGCCTGGAATTGGAGTACAATAAAATGAAGAAAGAGAAAAAATGAGGGCAGAGGGAGACAGAGAGATAAGAACGCAGACATGCGGACAGGAAGAGACGGTGAAGGTATACTACGGCTCCGTAAGTGCAGCAATATACGAGTGTGCAAATATTTTAGGAACTAAAGGTAAAGTGAGGATGCCTTCAGAGCTAATGGCGCGCATAGTTTCTATTTATCCATTAACTTTGCAGGAAATGCGGTAAACAGAAATCAAATCAATTGGACTTTCAAACAGCACCGGTTCCCCCAGGTACAAAACGCATACAGCTTTTCAAACTGCTTGGCAGAGCGTTTGTTTCCGAGCGTCTTGGAAAACTAGCCACAGCTCTTCTGAGGATTCAGGCTTTTGTAATGTCTCCTGTCTCTTTATGTAATCCGATATAAGGATTTGATGATGTTGAGATTTTAGGGCCCTGTGGGGACCGTAGCGTCTACACCAGGACTCCTCGTTATTCCTTGGGCTGAAAATGGTTCTTTAGGACTCTGGCTGTGTATTTGGGGTCATTGTCATGCTGCAAAATTGAATTGGACCAATAAGATGCCTCCCTGATGGTGCTGCGAGATGGATCTACAAATCTAAAGTACCCAAAAGTGTTGCACAGTACTCTGGTCCGTCACTACACTTGGCTAGGTGATGAAAAAAATGGCAATGATTTCCTTAATGTGACCTGGATCTGGCTTTTATTCATTTCTGGGTTATAATATTATGCATGACATGATAATTAATTAATTATCCGTCCTTGTCGTCATATGACAAAAGCAATGTTTTGATTCTCGCAATCCGACAGTCCTCACTCAAATCTGAACCTGGCCGGACTGAGAAAGAAAACATTGCACTTTCTTCGTAGCTGTCACAGTGTGGATTGCTTTGTCAACTACACAAAGAACGCAGTGTCCTTGACTGCCTTTTCCCAAGAAGGGAACCAGCAAAATGCAGCATCTTTGTAGTGAGAGTTAAAAGCTTATAACAAACAAACTCATCGCTAAACGCCAAAAAACGTTGCAATGCATCCTTGTCTGCATGAGGTCTGTTCAAAAGACAGAGAAGTAGGTCACTGAGTTTGGAGTATTTTGGCTGCTCATGGATGATTTCAGGGTTGTAAGATGTCATTGTGCTTCCGGATAACAGACGCTGCTGTGGGCCAGGCTGATGCAGATGGGGTGGAGACTTTTTTTGTCGACAAAAGGCGTATTGATTCAGTCCGAGTGGGCTGACTGACAGAACGTCTTAAACACAAACCATGAGTACACAGCTATGCTCCCACATAACCTCTTCTAACAAGCTCTAACACCTCTAAAGATGGAAGTAAACAAACAGGACTGGCAACAAAACTGTGATGGGTGAAGGGGCTTTGTGGAAAATATGTCAGACAGGCATCCGGGCTGTTAGGAGAGTCGCAGCCACTTTGCGCAACGTATGTGTCGGTTTGGAAGGAAGCTAGAAATGCTCACACACAAGTCTACGCGAGATCTTAGTGTCAGTTTCCAGTGGATGCTGACACTTATATGAATAGATATCACACTGTGGCCTTTATGTTCATTTCTACAGGCTCACAGTGGGGGTCACGAGGTCAGATGAAAAAGCAATAGCGCACAATAAAGCTATCTGACCACAGCAACTTGATTAACTGTCTCCCCATGGGCTTCTATTTCTTTATCCTGCCTTAGGAAACACTTCACTTGGCTTGCCCGTTTTTGAAGTTATCTGAAATGTAAAGTTTAAAGAACGGGCTGCAAGGTGG